TTAATCTTAAAACCTTGATCATTTTCCTCCGATTACCTTATCGTGCGCTTGTTTGAAGTCAGCGAATAATGCAAATGTCAGCTTCAAGTGCTCGTAGGTTTCTGTCGTATTTTCTCCTAGTACGAAGATTTGGTCTAATCTGCTTCCTGCGTCAAATGGCGGTCTGATATCCTCTACGATGCTTTCCATAGTTTCTCTCAGTAGACTCTTGCGACATGTGCGATGTTAATATTTATAGAAAAATTCATTAGTGCAATTCGTCTGTAAATGTGACATTTGCTCTTATCTCCTCTCTTAACAGGGTTTTCAGTTTATTGTTGCATAACTTAAGATTCGATAGAACTTTTAAAATTAAGCATACCAGGGGCATAGTTTTACTGTAGCCGCTAGAGGGCGCTCTCTACTGTACCTGTAGTGTATTAAAATGACTTGCTTTTTGAATAAAAAACTGATTATTCGCACTTTTCAACATAAAAAAGCTCTCTGGAGTTTTCGTTATAGTTAGCCGTTTTTGAGATATTTCGATTTAAGGTCGATTCATTTTAATTATTTATGGGAAAATAATATTTTTTTTACATTTTCGATTTGGGCATTACAAGTAATTAAAGATCGTTTAGATTGTGTTTTTAAACAGCAATAATTCCTAACTCCAAATAAACACAAAAAAACAATATTAATTTGTTTAATTTTCCAATATTATTTTAACAAATTAAATTATTTACAACTAAAATGCTATTGGATAGTTAGGACAAACATACAAAATCTAAAGTAGTTGCTCGAAATGTAAACCCAATTGTTCAATACACAATTCGAATGATCGAACGTGGTATAGCATTATTCAAATAAGGCCTTATTTCATCACATGCATTCCTGATTCTGTCTATTAGCATATCTCTTCGTGGTTATGGGAGTCTGGTACACTTTTTCTTTAGAAATCCCCACACAAAGAAATCTAATGGATTTATCAGGGGATCGTGGAGGCCAGGCGACTGGTCCTTCCGGCCGATCCATCTTTCTGGATAATTTTCGTCCAGCCAGTTTCTAACTATTCTCGAATAATGAGCTGGACAACCATCAAGCTGGAACCAGGCCAATCTTCTTAAATCTAACATAACATCATCCCACATATTTGCATGTTCAGCCTTTAAAAAATCCAAGAAGGTCGCAGCATTTAACCTTGCAGGCAAAAGGTAGGGTCCAAATAGTCGATTACTTTAGATACCAATCCACACGTTCACGCTAAATTCATGCTGAAAATTCCTTTACCCCATTTGCATGCGGATTTTCATGCGACCAAATATGTTGATTATGAAAATTTACCACTCCACGTCTAGTGAAGCATGACTCATCGGTCCATAAAACGTTACTTAAAAACTCCCTATTATTATCAGTTCTATCAAGAATCCACTGACAAAATGTGATTCTTCGTTCTCCGTCCCCTGGCTGTAGTCCTTGCACAGGTTGCAAATGGTAAGGACGTATATGGTCATTTCTAAGAACACGGTGAACATGGCTTGCTGAAATTCCCAAGGCACCAGAAACTCTTCTAACACTTGGTCGGATCTCTATCAAACTCACGCAGAATCATACGGGTAAATCTGCGCTGACGAACATTTATGTTTTGATCCCTTTGGAGATTTCCAAAACCATTTTCAATTATTTGGTGATGCACTCTTACAAATACTGAGCGAGTTGGATGTCGTCTGTTTGGAAATCTTCGTGCGTATTCTCTGGCTGCTTCTGCTGCGTTTCCATTTACAAAGCCATACACAAAATGAATATCCGCTAACTCTTGATTGGAGAATAAAAATGGCATTTTTATAAAACTTACAAAAAAAACAGGTAAAAGAAACTAAATTTCGTGCATTCACAATTGCAAAAAAGCGTTTCAGGTTTCAACAGACAACAAAACTAACTGTCAACTAATTGACGTTTAACCTTATTCTGCTTTCAATTTCAAAAATATTTGCAGGCACAGCCTACTTCTAAAAATTATCGAGATACTGACTTTTTAACGTTATTTTATCATAAATAATTAAAAATGCATCGAACCTTAAAAATCGAAATATCTCAAAAACGGCTAACTATAACGAAAATTTACAAGAGAGCTTTTTTATGTTGAAAAGTGCGAAGAATCAAGAATTCAAAAACCAAGAAATTGCACTAAGAAAAATTTTCGGTCAATTTAATACACTACAGATACAGTAGAGAGCGCCCTCTAGCGGCTATAGTAAAACAATGCCCACGGTTCGTTTTGTCGTACCAAAAAACCCTTGTACACCAATTTTCACTGTTATACATCAAATATTGTTCGAAATATTTAAAGAAAACTATTTTAGAAAGTAAATTTAAGCCACCCATTTTTCGACCCAGGTTTATATAGACTTTATGCATTAATTTTAAAAGTTCTATCGAATCTTAAAGTTATGCAACAATAAACTGAAACACCCTGTATAGGTAAGTTTTGTTATTTCGGAGATCATTCCAAAGCCTACCTGCTCCTTAAGTTTGTCATGGTCCTTACTGTATATAAGATAAAACCTAGTGTCTGGTTTCTATCGGAAGATCCGACCTAATGAACTATTTTGAAACGAACCATATTAATGTCTAGGCATCTTATTCTCAATTAAGATTTAATAAGTCGATAACGTTGATTTTGCATCATACCTACCTTAGCTTAGTGTTGTCCTCTGAAACTAAAAGAAATATGTAGTAATAGAATTTCTGTGAATTGAAATACTTTCGTGAACGCAAACAAGATCATGAAATGCAGCTAATTTTGCTAATTTTACCCATTATATTGAGCCTGTATCATTCTGGTAGTCTAGGACCTTTACCACCTTTATGGAGAAATATCATTTCACCCAAATACCAACGTTGAGGAAGATATCCAGTACTAAGAATCCAATTTATAACATCGATCAGTTGAGCTTTAACTGTGGCCTCTGCATGTTTTATGGCATTTATTTGAATGCCATCTGGTCCTGGTGTTTTTGAAGATATGAATGTGTTTATTACATTATTCAATTCCCGAAGGAATCGAGTATGTCTTTTTGATCTCTAAAATATTTTTTTCTTGAACTAAAGCGGCATGATCAAGTATGTCCAGAACTTCGATCTGGAGTAGATGCCGCTGAAGTGGAGTGGACAAGTTGCATTCAAACAGTTCTACAGGATGCAGGTGTATTTCCTGTACAACAGCACGGCAGACCTTTTTTGCCTGTGGACATTCGTCTGAAGATCTGTGACATAAGAGAGGCTATTAAGCAGGCAAAAAGGTCTTGTCATCATTGACATTAGTATGGCTACGAATCTTATTCATGAAGTGAGAAACGCGCTCCATAAATCCGCCATGAGCAATGGTACGACTTTCTTGCCAGAATGCTTGATTCAAGTATCTATTCGTCTCTCAAAGTTATTCAGAAACGGAAAGCAATAGTCTTCAGAGCGCATGATAAGACCGAGGTTTTAGCTGACGCCATGGAAAAACACATCGTGTGATATGTCAGGCGATATTTTAGGGCCAACGGCGTGAGCAGCACTGAATCTTCAGGTGACTCTTCTTTGCAAGATTCGTCTGAGGCTTCACTGGGCACATTTGCGTAAACATCCGAGGTTTCACATTGCACACCAGCGGAGCTCCTAGATCATATTGAAGACCACAAGGTGCTTAAAGTACATGTGGAGGATCAAATCATCAGCAAGGCGTTGAGGCTGTTATCTCGGAAAGCTCGACATATTTGACGACAATAATCAATGCAATGCACAGAACCCAGTATTTGTACTTCTCTGCGGGGTGGAAGACTTCTGAGGTTATCATGATTTCAAAAAAGGTGGGTTCGATATACCCTCAGCGTTATCGTCCCATTAGTCTGCTGCCATCTCCTTCTAAACTTGCCGAAAAGGTGACTTATAACCTTGAGATTTCTTTGTCAGATCACCATGTGATTCCGAATGTTCAATTTGGCTTTCGGTCGGAGTACCGAGCTACAGGCAGTCAGGCTGGAGGAACATGTAACCCAGAGTATTCACCCTCAACGTGAATACTGGTATCTTAATTTGGGGTGTCTCAAAAGCCTTTGACTCCTCTATAAACTAATCCAAAACGTTTTTCCTTTTTGGCTTCCAAATTTACTACTCTTTGAAGGGGGAAGTAGTAGTCAAAAAAGCCAATCAATGAAGACGAGAGGTACACCAGTATCCAGAACGTACATTAAAAACATGTCGAATTTGTTTCTCGTCATTACAAAACACGAAACAAAAAATAATATCAAAACGTGGGTAAAACCACTGTAAAGAATAAAACTGCCGTTGTCCGTCCGGCTAGCTGTACAGCAGCTTCAGAATGTCTAGGATATCAAAAGTCTTAAATTGGGTTGTAAAATATATATTTTTAATTATATCTTTTCGCAACAGTACAATTAGAAAAAAAAAATTGATTCTTAAATACCCATTAAAAAACTACCGTATAGTAAGCTTTTGTATTGGTATGCACGCCTTGAGCTACATGTATTGGTGTGGTGGAATATAATCTTATAGGCAGGCTCCACACCATTGTTTCTATACGAACTTCACTCGGTGCTTGCCACTCAGTATCTTCCGATGATGGCCCTGATAGTTCTTTATGGGTACTTGTTACAAATTCAAAGTGTAATCGCCACTTCAAGCTAACTGCAATTAGAAACAAAAAAAAGGCATCAAGTAGGTTGGCTCTGCGCTTCCTATGTAACGCCGTCGTCAGTCCATAAAGGATTAAGTTCAGGGAGTAAATCTATGATGTATGAAATATGGGTAATAGGTGCATAGAATTACCGGGGTTGGGAGCGTATAAATATACTAGCGAAGATTCAAAGAATAGGAATTTACCATATTTCTATTTCTCTCTCTCTCTCTCTCTCTCTCTCTGATAATATGATGTTTTTAATGTTAATTAATCAGTGACAAAAAATAAAGTAATTCAAATGAGGTTACCTTACCTAGTTTGGTGCTAAAAGCAGGGGTGACATGTAATGGAATCGGTAATATTAGCTGTGTGTATTTGTAACCAAGACACACTTCATGATGTTTACTAAATGTTACGTTTCTAACTTGCTTGGTATTCTTATCTTCATCTATTATCGTCTCTTCTTCGCACTGTAAAGACACTGATACTTGCATGCAACTGACTGTTGCTACAGTGAAATCAAAAGTTCCTATTATATCTTCTCCTAGTTTATATGCTGGTTTGAAAAGGCAAAATCTGGTTACTTTTCCCCAGGTGTTTGTTATCATGTAAAAGTTAGGGTTGCGGCGAGCCGTTATGTTCTGAAATTAGACCAGTGCAAAAATAGAAAATGTTACTCAACACAACTGCATAAAAAATGTACATTGAACCATACATGACGGTCGAAAATATTATACAGAAATAAAAGATACATTAAATGGATTTCTCAATGTTCAATTTTGCTGCCGCTACGTGGCGCTAGTGTGGTTGGAGGTCAAATTATCAAACGTACAAATCGTACGCTTAGATATAACCGCCGACCTAACTACTTTTTTACGAGTATCCATTACATTAGAATAACAGCTGATTATCTAGTGATATTTCAAAATTCCCCATATCGACAAGAGACACATAATTCTGAGACATTCGTCAACGCCAAGTAGACAGAGCCGTATTTTGTTGAGGTTTTTTCTATGCTATGCATTAATTTTGTACATGCTAACAACTCCTCTATTTAGAAAAATTACGTCATTTACAAAAAAACAATACAAGCAAAATGGCTAATGACTACATTTCAAGTCAGGTAGGAATAAAATAAGATGGGCCAACTATTGAGAACACTGCAAAAATCCAGAAGCAACGAAAACATCCCGTGACAGTGCTTGTATAAAGAGAGTAAGGTATTAAAAAAATATTACTTTCATCCACCAAAAATTCTCAGATGGACAGGTTGCTTGGGCGACCGCAGGGGCCGTGCCCCCTGAAAATCGGGTTGAACCTTCGCATATTTTGGTATAATTTTCTCTACAATTTTGAGGATTTTCAGGATTTGCCCGCCCCCCTGGGAAAATTTGCTACTCCCACTCTTCAAAGAGTCTTGGGGGCAAGTACACTTTCACAAAAACTTGCCTCTTGGCGATGATACCTCCTTAGAAAATTCCTGCTGGTGCCCTTGGCTTGTAACGTGTAACATCATGTTTTTACATGAGTGGTGCTTTAAACAAGCTGTAGTCATTATTAATTTTATGAGAGTTTCTGGGGATACATAACCTGTATTTGAACTGTTACACTATTTTTACAGGTAAAATTACAGCTACTGGAAAGGACAACACAATCTTATGTATTGACTTACCTCGTAATTCATAAATTCCAGATGTACTATATTCTAATAAACATTTGTATGTATACTCCATATACTTCGTATAATTTGTTGCTAAAATTCCCAGTCACTCAAAGTATCTAGATATGTGAACAACAGCTCCGAATACAGTCCTGAGTTTACCAGATTTTCACTCGATTTATTATTGACAACATTACAGACTAATACAAAGATGTCACTTACTGATCAGCTGTCCACCTCAGTAGACATCAAAATGTAATGAATACTCGTGAAATAGGTCGCATAAAAGCTGTCAAAATCAAAATATTATCTGACCATGAAAATATGTATCACAAATCACACAATCTTGTGTCACAATGAATATGAAAACAAAATAAGCTTTTTTTTCTTACTTCACAATGAAAACCCAAATACTGTATATTCACCCATAACTTACTATAATGAGCTGAATGGAATAACACAGCATACTTATTATTATTGATCATTCCCTATGTTCATTTTTCCAAAATATGTTCCACACAACCAGAAAACGTGTAACTCGGCACGCATTTTAACTCGTTTGTTAAAATATGGATGGCCGACTAATATTTAATAGAATAACTAAGGATCCATTGGTGAATGTGAAATAACCATTAGAATGTCTGACACCTTTTGTGATTGCCCTGACCAATAGACTTACATACATGTTTTCCAAAATGGTGCAACCTATACTTTGGTTGAAAAATACAGGGTGGCCAACAAAGAATGCGAGGTACTATATCTGGGAACCTATCCATCGTAGAGGCTTGGAGCAAAAACGATTACAAAAACGTCCAAGAGCAAAAATTGGCAAACAAAAAAGTTTACATTATCCGCGACTTTAAAGATCAAGTATTTTTTGTTAGCTAACTATAGCGGAATTCACAGAAACATAACTTTTTTAGATACAAGATTGCAGTTACGCCCCGTAGCAGCCATTTCAGAAACTTACTTTCCAGGTTGTTCCCACATACAGTACCTTGCATTCTTAGTTGGCATCTACAGAAAAGTAAATTTGAACAAACAATGCTTAATCTTCCTGTATAAATAATGAATACTAAATTCATCCATAAAGAATTATCTATCTGGCATCCTAACAATACGTGGCTAGACGCCATGCTTTTCCTTTGACCATTCTATCTCTTCCCATTTCATTTGCCTTGTCTAGCTGTCTTCTCTTAGTATAACTAACTTGTGAGAACTTAGTTTAGTTACCTGTAAACTTTGTAGTGCAAGTTCCAGAGGTCGTTCTTTTTGTCTAATTTCTAAAAATGGATTTGCAGGAGTAAGCTCTTCAGTAGTATCATTGCACAGCGCCACTGCTTCGGTCAAAAAAGCTTCACATAATGGTAATACTCTAATTGGCACTCTGAGAAGTTTTACAGGACTACTCACTCTTTGAGTGCCAACTGTGATTTTATATGAGTACTTTACCAACTGTCCTCTGTATGATGGTGGTGAATCACTTGGAATTTGTTCTTTGTAAACATCTGTTGAAAAATTAACACCATGAATTGGCTGAGATCAGTTAATTAGGGGTATGATGAAAACTGTCAGCAATGTTCAAATATACAGGGTGTTCCTTAATGATATGCGAGTATTTAAGGGTGTGAATCTACATGAAAAATTAATGTTAGTTTGCTTTATAAACTATGGTCCAAAAATGTTTCCTTACAAAAACTCGGGGTGTTGAAGTTTTAGGAAAAAAGTGGAAATTAATATTTTCAGAACCGCTTCAGATATTTTACTGATATTTAGTACGTAGTGAAAGTTAATGAAGTTGCATATTTTCAATGCAAAAATAATTTTTAGCTTTAACAGTGGCGTGCGTACGGGTATTGACTTCGAAATTTTTTAAGAAAAAAATTGTACGGCAATGGTTTTTTGCCTAATAAAAGTTATTTTTGAATTCCCCGTTCATTTTAAAACAAATGATCTCTCTTGAATTGTTTTCCTTCGATGCGCCATTTTTGAGTAAAAAAATAAAAACCGTTCTATTGTCTAACTTGCAAAATTATTATTAATTTAATTGGAAAAAATTAAACACATTAGGGGTAATGAACAACAACAACTGACAACATAAACATAACATTAAAACCAACGAAATGATTACAAAACTTGTTGAAAATGGCCCCCTTCACTTAGTATGCATGCTGCCGCCCTCCTTCTCATGGAATTGCGCACTCGTTGAAATATCCCTGGAGTATTTTTTATTCTATCATAAGCTGCAACTATTCTTTCTCTTAATTCCTCTACAGTGTTAATGGGACTTGTGTAAACTAGTGTCTTAAGATAGCCCCACAAAGAGAAATCTAAACTGTTAAGCCCCAGACCTTAATATCCCTGGAGTGTTGTTCATTCTATCACAAGCTGCAACTATTCTTTCTCTTAATTCCTCTACAGTGTTAATGGGACTTGTGTAAACTAGTGTCTTAAGATAGCCCCACAAAAAGAAATTAAACTGTTCAGGTCTGGGGACCTTGGTGTCCATTCTTGGGGCCCACCGCGGCCAATCCAACGATTTGGATAAAAATACTCTTAAAATATGGTAAACATATAACAAAAAATCCACTAAAATTCTCCAAACAATTTGATGGCAAATATTTAAGTGTCTCTAGAGATCTTCCTCGTACTCGTTTCAGGATGTTCTTCGACTTCGTGCAGCACTGCTTCCTCAATTTCAGGTGTTCTCACACTTAGAGGTCTACCGTCAGATGTTCGGACAGAACCAGACATGAATATTAGAAAAGGTTCGACTATCTGGTAAAGCACGATCGGTATATCTCTGGTGATAAATCCTTCTGGCTTGCTCACCATTACCGTCGACAAGGCCATATACGTAATGCATTTCCGCCATTTCTGCATTTGAATAATTCACCATTATCACAAAATTGTAAAACTAAATAATGAAAAAGATGTCACAGCGAAAAGATTTGAATAACACAGACTTGTCAGATATCAAAACCAGTGACATATTCCAGAGCAACTAGATATTTATTGCTAAATTGCTTTATTCAATTATTACATCCATTTTCTCGAACACTAGAACGGTTGTTATTTTTTTACTCAAAAATGGAGCAAACAGTTCAAGAGAGATCATTTGTTTTAAATTGAACGGGGAATTCAAAAAGAATTTTTATTTGCAAAAAACCATTGGCGTACCATTTTTTTCTTAAAAAATATCTAAGTCAATAACCGTACGCACGCCACTGTTAAAGCTAAAAATTATGTTTGCATTGAAAAATATGCAACTTTATTAACTGTCACTACGTACCAAATATCAGTGAAATACCTGAAGCGGTTCTGAAAATATTAATTTCAACATTTTTGAACCATAGTTTATAAAGCAAACTAACATTAATTTTTCATGTAGATTCACACCGTTAAATATTCGCATATCATTAAGGAACACCCTGTACAATGCATACTGGATGTGGTTAATAGCATAAACAGAAATTTGCCAATTTTCAGACAAAAAAGGTCGGACTTTTTGAAAAACCATTTCAGGCAAGCCACTTACGAGGGTCGTTTCAAAAATAAAGTTACCAACGCTGTAACTTTGCTGGGCGCGATGCTAGCGCGAAATCTGGCACCACCGTCGTGTTTGTCGGCTCCCCCACACCGATCCCAACAAGAAGCGCCTAATGGCGACGATCAGTACCGGCCTGACGCCCATGCGCAAGAGTCACCGCCGGTTGGGAAATCCGTGCCGTCATCCGATTTTTGCACGCAAAAACGTTACCACCCATAAAAATTCGACGCCAGTTTAGTGAAGTATATGGGAAACGTGTATAAGCATTCAACAAGTCCTCAAATAGTGAAGAGAGTTCTTCAACGGCCGCCCGGACATCCTCGATGAACAACGAAGCGGGGGGGCGTCAATCTTCGAGGAAGTTATGGCGAAGATTCAGCAAGTCTTGCTCGAAGATCGGCGAATTACGATTCGGGAACAGATGGTTCCTGAGGCTTCTGAAAAAGCTGATACGGGCTATCCAAAATCGTCGTAGGGGAACACTCTCCAAAGCGTAAGACTGGACCAAGACTTCTTTGAGGTGGGGGCGATAAAGTGGATCCTACGTCTAAAAAAATACGTAAAAAAATGGCGACTATCCTCAAACATAGCTTAACGTTTCCAATGGTAAATTCGTTTTTTCAAATAAAAAATTCCTCGTGCCTGAAAAAAACGAGGGACCTTAATTTTTCAGACAACCCTCGTATTTTCATACGTCAAGGCATCCCTGACCACTCAAAAAGTAAGAGAGGCAATGTGGCAAAGACAAAAAACTTTTTACATAAAAAACTAATAAAATCTTGATTGCTTTGTAACACTGCTCGCATTTTGATGTTACTTAGATACAATGCTAGTATCTACAATGGCAAGAAAAAGCAGCTTGGCAGATTTTAACATGTGTACTAGAGCAATCATCAAAAATAATAAATATCCTTGATCCCTGAAACGGATTTTCAATAAATGTTAACATCAGGTCACTACTGCAGCAGAGAAGAAACTTTGTAGTTTTTGGATGTCACATCAGTTTAGTTATAGTCGCAAAAAACAAAAAAAAAAAGTTTATGATTTGAGGATTGAAAAAATCTTATTGGTGACCTCAATTTGGATTGCTTTTTTCCATGTGCAAATCGAAAATGTGTGGGAAGTAACACAATTAATCTATTTGACTCCATTTTTTATTCTTTATTCCTTTCATCATATACGTACCTTAAAAGCAATCAATGCAATTGCAATGCAATGCAAGTTTGTCAGAAGACCCTACAGAAAGATTTCTATACGTGTGACTAACAATCTGTCCCACATTGTTGTTTCTTAAAAAAACTCAATGGCAGAGGATGACTGTGCCAGTAACCTGGACGCTACCAGCATTCGGACAAATGTTATATTATTGTTAAAAACTTGAATACTTGAAATCCGATACTGCTGGTAATTGGTACCACATTTACCAACAAATTTGTGACGTAAGCTGTTAGTTCTAAATGTAAATACATTGGGTGTGACGCCTTGGTTCTGGAATGGATAGATTGCTATTTAAATGAACGACATCAATATGTCGTCATACAAAATAAACTTTCAGACAAAAAGGCCGATTTATTCCGGCGTGCCTCAGGGATCCATATTAGGTCCGCTTTATTCCTTATATACACCTTCAACATTGTTCTAGTCAATCATATGCTGATGATATGCAGGTTTTTCATTAATTTCTGTCCGAACAACTACCATTTAGCTAACAACCCTATCAATCAAGATCTGCAATACTTATGCAAATATGCTGCAAAACATAATTTACGTCTAAACGCATCGAAATCGACATCTATACTTTTTTGCTCCAAGAAAAAACGTACTTTCCTCAATCAAAGTTAAATTTATCACTAAATAATAGTATCCTAATATTTTCCCATTCTGCAAAAAAAGTAGGTTTGTACTTGGATGAAGATTTCAGATTTCAGGAGCATGTTGGCTATGTGTGTAAGTCTAGTTATTTTAGACTCAGGCTTCTATATGCAAGTAAAACTGTTTTAAATAGAAAATTAAGAAAATGTTATGCGAGTCACTCATACTCAGTAAATCGCACAAAATACAGACTGCAAAAAATTCAAAACTCATGTAGTCGTTACATAAAAAAATTAAGAAGGTACGATCATGTTTCTCACCAATATCTTCAATGAATTGGTTGAAAATTTCTGATCTTTTCAAATACAACTTTGTTAAATTTTGTCGTAAAAATATTAAACTTCTGTTCCGGTTTATCTTATGCAAAAGCTTGTTCGTAGGAATTTAATTCACAATTTGAATATGCGCAACGTTAATCTCCACAACATAGGACAGCCATTTTTCAACGGTCCTTTTACGTATAATGCGGTGAAATTGATCAACTCTTTCAAACAATGTTTCATCAGCAACTTAATAAGAAAAATATAAGAACTACTTATGAGCTCTTAGATTATTGTCTTCTCTTTGAATCGTACGTATTATGTTTTTACATGGACCGTGCCTGCCTAAAAGTCATAGAGTCTCCGAAAAACCTGTGGCCAAAGTCAAGAATGGTCACTTGGTACCTCCACCCTGACAATGCTCCAGCTCACCGCGCCACATTTATAGTACTCTAATTGCTAGAAATATGTAAACAGTATGGTAGTTCAAAGTCAACAGTGCAAGATTGGATTTATGGAAAAATTCATTATTTTTACCTAGTTTGTATGAATATTTGATTCAAATATTAAATGGTCTTAGCAAGAGTGTGTTTAAATTCTTTTCCTAAAGTCTTAATGACAGCTCATTTGAAATTTCTATTTTACTATCACAAATTTTTAAATATGGTTCTGTCTAAAATTGATCAATCAAATCCCATCCGATAATTGGAAACAAGCTGTATGACTACTAGCACCTTCTATCCGAGTACTGGCTAATAGCACCTTTTTGATTATTTTTTGATAATTTTACAGGAAGCAGTGTATTTGTTGGCAAAAGGTTAATAACATATCTGATCACCACATTAGTTGTGTTATCTTGAACACAAAATTTGTAATTTCACTTGTATTCCATTTTTGTCTAAACTGTGCAACCACTGGCACATGCACCCTACTAACTGTGACTGATAGTATGTTGTGGTTTCTATAAACCCCTTAATATCTAACGTCTAAGGTATGGAGCCTGGATTTATTGGTTTTTTGTTTACTAAGGACTAAGGTATAGATTGCTAGTTTGGAGTAGATTTAAGTCATTCTACCCAATGAATGTCTCTTCTTTATCTATAAACTGTCATTAGTAAATCCCAGCAGAAATGTTTCATTTCTGTTCTCTTCACTTACCTCTCCTCCCCTTAGTGGGCAAGCACTTATATTTGAAGAGCAAAAATGCAAAAACTGATGAACCCATTTTTCGTAGTTCTGCATAAAACGGAAAACCTCTAGAGCAAAATCCCCGTCAAACTTTTTTAAACTCAATTTTTCATAAGGATTTAGCGGCTTTTGCTCATATCTGCCTTTAAAACGGATAGAGCATATCGAAATTAACCGATTTCCATGCCTACCTCAAAAATCGTAAAAAGTGGTTTTATCGGTTTTGCATTTTTGCTCTTCGTTGTCAAATTATTCTCATAAACAAAAAATGCTTACATGTTTTTGATTGTCCTGGAGATAACTTGAGATCACAGAAAAGGATCTTGGCTTTGTTGTAATCTCTACTTTTCCATTATCCTTCAGAACTACCCCTAGGGCAGTACCAGCATTGGTTAAGTGGTTGTTGGATTCATCTTCCTTATACACTTTGGAATCTGTGAAACAGAGGCAATGAATTTGAGCGGAGGCCCATGCTAAGCTTTCAAATGCATCAGCATGGCTTTGGGATAACCGTCCTATTTGGCGAAGGAGGATGGGTAAATGTTATGTGACATTCCACCACTTCTCCAGATAAAAACACATGTCCCCTTGGAAGTCTTGCCGTCACCTCTATCATTTTGAATATTTTAAGATTCACTTATCCATAAGGTGTATACAATTGCATATTGTTATTAGTTCTGCTTGTTTTGATGTTTTGACAAATCATAAAACAACAAAACACTTAAGTAGATACGCAGCGTTGCCATAGGCTCTGATTATTCCGGGTCAGATTTTGAGATTCCCGAGCGGGAACAGATGGAATTTCCCCTTCCTCTCGAAGTTTTGACAGTTTCAAGTTAGATTTCGCATGTTTGCCCAAAATGTTTGCTTTGAGCTCCTTGATAAACTTAGCTGCCTTGTTTGAATCTGAAATAAAAAGACCGATCGTTTTTTGTGCAATGTACATATATATCAATAAAATCAATCATTTGATATGACAATTGCGGTTCATATATCTTCTCCCTCGTCATTTAAAATCAGGTGGACGTGTTCCTCCATTTATAATATCATATAATAAATTTAGCTCAATTTTCGGCACTGCGAAGACAAATTTTCAATTGAGATGCCTATTTTTAAATTACATTGACATAAGACCTGTCACTCGCTGGTACCACACAGACGTTAGCCGGGTACCCGTACCACGTGATTTTTTGACATTCGGACGACGTCACATCCGCCTTCCCGTTCTTCGCGAAAATTTGAGTATCGGATCCCGGTAGTGCACTGTGCTGCACCGTGGACTCGCGAAAATATCCTTATTGTATTCACTGTATATGCAATGCATACATTGTATTCATGGTATACGTACGCATTGCATACATCGAGGCGTATACAATTAATGTACACGCGTAAACGCTCAACACATATTTTCACAATCACTTTTTTCCTAATTTTAAGCAAAGGCTGGGAGTGAAAACATTTTGGACCATAATGATGTTAATACTGATTTGTTCGTAGGAAAATAACAGGATTCATATAAAAAGTATCTATCTTATGTATTTGCAACATATTATGCTTTTCTTCAGGACCTTTTCAGATTATAAAGTAGATATCAGTGAACTTATAACAGCTTGTGTTTTTGACATTGATATTTTACATACAAAAAAGCATGTATTCGTCAAGATAGCGCAAAATATTAATATGTAATTCATACCGTTATAAAATCTCGCATATCGTCATATCCTACCAAATTTCTATATACAGGCTGTCCCAGAGAGAAACACATTTAGAGTAACACGGTAGGTAGATTGGCTGCAGATCAATCAAATAAAATCAACATGACCTTTGTAAAAGTTTTTTAGTTTTCGAGACATTGCCACTTTCAAGCTTTTTCAAAAAATCCCTACTTTTTGCTCCTGTTTTGCGTGTTATGGCTATAAAGAACTTCTAACTTATGTTTTTCTCCTGGGCTACCATTAATAGTTGATTGTGACAACCGAGTATTCATTTCATTGAGAACTAGCACGGTATGCTAAACAAAAATCATTACATTTTGTTTCAGTGTGAAAACCTCTATTAAAGTTTGACTAATTATTGTGGAAGAAAATGTACCAGACTGAATCGGAAAATGATCTTAAAAACTTAAATTTACTTAAATTTTTTGCAACATCATCTACCCATTCTTTTGGAAGATGTGCCTTATGAGACAAGAAGAAGGATGTGGTTACAGAATGATGGGTGCCCTGCACACTATGCCAGTGCAGTAAGGGAGTATCTTGATGAAATAATCCTTGGAAGATGGATTGGTTTGTTAGGACCAATTTTGTGGCCCCACGCTCCCCAGACCTGAAACCTCTGGATTTTTTTACTGGGGATGTTTAAAAGATAAGGTCTATGGAAAACCAGTTCGCTCAGCCGATGAGCTGCGTCATCGAATCCGTCAAGCAGCACGCATAATATCTGATTTAAGCTTGAGACGTTGAAAATGACAATTTTTAAGAAGATACAAGTTGTGTATAAGAGTCGGTATAGTAGACATTTTGAAAATCTGTTGTGAAAATAATAATGATCATTTATTCCAGGCAATATTTACATTACAAGATGTCAATTTCTTTGTCATTTAGAAGATGTTAATAATGATTCCTAATTCTTTATTTGATTTGAATGTTGTAAAAAGCAAAAAAATACAACCTCTGTCCATTATTTTGATGCCTGCATACGAAAATTAATAAAAAAGTATAATGGATAGCTGTTTCAGACATTTGCTAAAATAAAAATCTATTACAGCAACTGCAAAGTCGTAGTTTGAACACAAAAGGCAGTTGCACTAATCAATTTTTATTTGTAGTACTTCACAAGTACTACGACTTCAATGACAAAAGTTATAATTATTCAGTTTTTAGTAAAAAGAAACTAAGAACAATATACTATTTTTGAAAGAGCATTAAATAGCTAGTTTTTAAGGTCATGCTTTGGTAAAGGTTTTTGCATTGAAAGTAAATGTAATAAGATTTTTTAGCATACCTTGCTAGTTTTCAATGAAAACTCGGTCGCCTCAACCAACTATTAATTGCGTCCAAGGAAAAAAGTCACAAGAAGGAGTTCTTTATAACCATAACAGGCAAAAAAGGAGCAAAATACAGTGATTTTGATTTTGACCATGTGATTAACCTGAAGCAAATCTACCGCCCGTGTCACTTTGAAGTGTAATGTTTGGGACACTCTGTATATGAAAGTGTAGCAATCAAAAATTGATATGTAAGAACTGGCAACCATGGCAGATCCTAAACAAATGGTTGCTGACAATGACATAAGTCAGCGGTGTTGTCTTTGATTAACATGTGAATAAAATCGGTCCCACACGATCTGGCGAATACCTTACAACGTTGGACACATGTACATTCGCCACATCGTGTGCGAGAGCGCTGACGGACTGCATGTCGCCAACGTTCGCCACATGGCACGGTCCGGCTCTTGTCGGTAAATTTGACCCGCGTCAAAGGACGTTACAACGTTGGAGGCATGGTTCGTTACGCTCCCACACGAGATGTCACGTTTTGGTTAGAACCAGGAGCGGCGAAAAACTTTTACTTGTTTGCTGTGATTGTAGTGAAGTAGTGGTATGTGGGAAGTATTTTGATTTGTATATGTACCTATTCATAATAATGTATGTTCCGTAACTAACTTTTGAGGAGAATGAAGTAAATTAGTGTAAATACAAAGCATTACAGCATACAGTTGTTTCATTATAATGTCCTGTTGCAATGCAAGACTAACTGAGAAATATATTGACTTGCATTTCATAACTAACGAAGACGATTAAATAAATGATAACTCTGAAAGGACTATCATTTTGATGACATTTTGACCCTAGGTTACTAAAGTGAGGAAAAAGCTCTGCAGTTTTTTAAAATCGCGGCACAGTTATCGTCGAAAAACAAACAAAAAACGGTCAATCTTCGTTTTTTGACATTTCTGAGGCTTCTGACAGACTTAAGTTTTGGTCGCTGAAGACAGATCTGAAAGTATTTTGCGGCGCTCGAAAAAATTGTTTCATCGTTCATTTTGTATAATTTTTTCTTCAGTTCTAAAGGTTCAAGCGTGACACTGACACCGATAAAAGACGTTGGCGCCATCATGCGTCGAACGTCCGTGACTAAAAAGTTCATCCCATCGTGTAGGAGACACACTTGCCAATTATTGTGGGGTGTCGAACGTTGTAAACAATGTTGTATACAACGTTGGAAGCATCGTGTGGCACCCGCATTACATGGAATTCAACTCTGTGCTGATGGTTGATTTGATGCGTCGTATTTTTTAACCTAACACTTTTCTGGTCGTCGAAAGTTGTTTATATATTATTTTATGGTCGAAATATTTTTTCGACAAGAATGTCTACACCAAACAAAATAATTACTGAAATATTCACACCATTTCAAGACTACATAAACGCTGAACAAGATATTAGAGAGGTATGCTAGAAAACCGGGATTCCGCATTTTTACATTCACACATTTTTTTTTCAGGAAATAAGAAAAATAATGAAAGACATAGAAAAACCTTTGAGGGAAATTACGACTATATTGCAAGTCATTCATCGTGAACCAAATTGTGAACAATGTGAGTGCAATCATTATTAGGCTTTATGTACTGAGGGATCAGGACTAGACTTTTTCAGTCCTCTTTCTGCTATATTAAACCATTTGGTTAAAAACAAAATTAATCGTTTCTAATGAGAACTAATTGAAGTCCTTTATGGAGATAGTCCTCAACAGTTCTTGACCATTTTGAGGATAATACATTTAAAACTGGTCTTCTCAAAAGAATACACCAGAATTATTTATATTTTGATAAAAAAAGCTGAATGACTAGCAATCCTCCCAATAAAGATGTAATAACACCATGCATGAGCAGTTGGATGAAGAGATTATTGACATTTTAATCTTTTGACAAAGTGCAACCTTGAAAGTACCTCATCATCATCTTACTGTCATAGTATCCCAGCTGTTTTAAAGTAGAATGGAATATCTTAAAGCTTGCTGCTCGCACTGCTGCAGTGGCTGATTCTGGCAATAAGTGGCACTTTGTGCTGTGTACCTCATATTCATATCTCTAAAGGAGAGAAAATGGTCGACATACTGATGGTGGAGATAAACTGAAGAAGAAGACATGAGTCTCATTTTGCACAGTTGCTTGCAAATTCTTCATTCTCCATTATCTAAATAGGAGAAGCTCCCATTAGTTATGAAGAATAAGGCTATTTTTTTCCCTTATAGGGAAGGCTAGAATTCAT